GTTGGAACAGCTGATCATCAGAACAGCTGATTGTTGGAACAGCTGATTGTTGGAACAGCTGATCGTCAGAACAGCTGATTGTTGGAACAGCTGATAATCAGAACAGCTGATTGTTGGAACAGCTGATAATCAGAACAGCTGATTGTTGGAACAGCTGATCATCAGAACAGCTGATTGTTGGAACAGCTGATTGTTGGAACAGCTGATCGTCAGAACAGCTGACAGCTGATTGTTGGAACAGCTGATCATCAGAACAGCTGATTGTTGGAACAGCTGATCATCAGAACAGCTGATTGTTGGAACAGCTGATCATCAGAACAGCTGATTGTTGGAACAGTTGGTTGTTGGAACAGCTGATCGTCGGAACCGCTGATTATTGCAACAGCTGATCATCGGAACGGCTGATTGTTGGAACAGCTGATCATCAGAACAGCTGATTGTTGGAACAGCTGATAATCAGAACATCTGATTATTGGAACTGCTGATCGTCGGAACAGCTGATCATCAGGAGGGGGAAAGAAATACCATAAGGAGTGACTGGGCGGGGTGGGTGGTGGAGAATGCAATCAGCGATGTCGCACATGCACAATAAGGACTGACTGGGTGGCGAGGGGAGGGGCAGGAAGAGAGGGGCGGGGCCAGCCAGGGGAACGATTTACCAGTTCTACCGAACTGTGCAAAATCATAACAACCAGCTCTATTGAACCAGTCCGAACCGGTAGAATCCCACCCTTGCAAGGTTGTTGGTGCATGGAAAATATGGGAGTTGAAGTCCAAAAGGACCTCAGGGGTGGGTGGGCGTCAGGTTGGAGACGGAAATGCACAATTCTGCACATCTTTCTGTGTTAATGGCAGCTTTGAGTGCTCAGCTGCAGTTGTGAGTTCAGCATTCCCCTTTGTACTGCACACACACACACACACAAGCCCAAGCACACAGAGCCACACAGATAAACAGATACATGCAGAAATACACAGGGACACAGGCACATAAACACACAGGCAGAGAAGCATTAACACATCAACACATAGAAATAAGCACACACAAAAACACAGACACACAAACACACATGGACCCACATAAACACACACACACACAGACACACAAACCTGCATACAAATACAGATACAGATGCACAAACTTGCACACACAAACCCACACAAACCCACGAACACAGATATAGACACACAAACAGACCCACACAAAAACACCCACACCCACAGATTCACACACACAAACATGCATACAGACCCAAATACACACAAACATGCCCATACAAACTTCAAACACACAAACGCACATACTGACCCAAAGAAACTCACAGACACACAGACACAGACCCACAATAAAGTCACACAGACACACAAACATGCGTACAGACCCAGATACACACAAACACACACAGACAAACCCACACAAACTACAAACATACAGATACAGATACAGACACACACAAACGCACATACTGACCCACACAAAAAATACACAGATACAGACACACACAAACGCACATACTGACCCACACAAAAAACCCACAGACCCACAGATACAGACACATAAACATGCACACACACTGACCCACACAAACCCACAGATACAGTTCAACCAATGCACGCGCACACATGCACACACACAGACTGCATTCTGTCCGCTCACCCTTGAGTAAAGATCACAACCTCCGTTCTTCCAGGGGGAGGAGAGGTGGGTTTGGGGTCCTCCCCACCCCAATTCAGCCTCAAAAGGGGGAAATGGAATGGCAAAGCACCCGCTCCCTGCCTGTAGAAACCTAGCAGCTCAAGCCAGTGACGGTTTCTCCTTCCCTTCGACTCCCACTTCCTGGCTCTTTTGACTTCTGGGGCTCAGGGTGGCAGCTTTTTTTGGTGGTGGTGGGTGGTCCTAGTGGGTACCAGAGAGAATGGGGAGGGGGGGGCTGCTTCACTCACCCATAGCTCTCCTGCCGCTTGGCCAGCTCTTTCATGCGGTGATCCAACATGGCAGGATTCCCCACATCGTCTTGGACTGTTTTGGCTGCAGGAAAGGAGAAAGGCCGGTTCGGGACGGGGTGTCACCATGGGGGTCACAGCCTCTGCAAAACTCGAAGTACCATCATTCCCGTGGGCCCAGCCTTCCCTAATGCACCAGGGCGGTTGTTGATGCTCTGGAGACTCTTAGTATGCTCAGAGGCACTCTTTCTCGCAAGTTAAGGCTAAATCCTGGATCCTTCAATCCCACGCATATCCAGCTTGGCACCCGGATATAGCTAATCCCCAGCCAGCAAGAGCGCTGGGGCGGATGGTTATTGCAACACCACGCACCTGGGTGCCTTCATCGAAATACTCTTTGCTCCTCCTATTTTCCCCCCATAACAACAACCCTGTGAGGTGGGTTGGGCTGAGAGAGAGAGGGACTGGCCCAAAGTCGCCTAGCAGGCTTTCATGCTGGAGGTGGGATTAGAACTCACAGTCTCCTGGTGATCGGCCCAAATTTTCCTAGTCAGGTTTCATAGCTAAGGCAGAACTCACTGTCGCCTGGTCCCGAATCACCCAGCTGGCTTTCCTCTTTAAGGCAGGACTAGAACTCCCCGTCTCCTGATGATCGGCCCAAAGTCATCCAGCCGGCTTTCAAAGCTAAGGCAGAACTAGAACTCACTGTCGCCTGGTCCCGAATCGCCCAGCTGGCTTTCCTCCTTAAGGCAGGACTAGAACTCCCCGTCTCCT